AATGTTTATGTTGGAAAAAAACTCTGAGATTATTGAGTTCAACTATATAACCTAATACCACCAAGATGGAACAGTGAATTTTGCAACATTTGTCTGTGTCCACCAGTGTTTAAACATTTGTTAAGGTCATCATTTCTTTTGGACTTTCTGTTTTGTTTCAGTTTGTTTTTTAAAGAACCTCTTGATCTCCGTGTTCATGATAGGTCATTAGTGGATTCAAAACTACACTGTTACATCCTTCAAAATTAATAGAAGTTTTTTTGGCTGTGGACTTTATCAAAGTGGTTAAACTAGGAGGGAAGGAGTAATTTTGAAGATTTTGGGTCTGATCAGAACGATGTGTCCTGTCACAGATGGAAGGAAAGAAAGCACCTTATGTTCTCTAGGGTTTCAACATGGTACAGGAAGTTCTTGATGTCAGACTTTAGTGTTCCCCTGCCTACTACATTTAAAGAAGTCAGTCACCATATGTAACTTATTGGAAGAATATTGTTAATAGGGTAGTTGAGACTAATGTAGGAAAGGAGGTTCTGTCTTTGTCTGGAAGGAGGGTAAACAGATAAAAACTGGGAGTTTCAGAATCCTGTGGACTGCTAGGTACCAGAATGCCTGAACCTGGAAGCTTCCAAAGGATTCTCTCTCCAAGCCAATATTTGTCCTTTTGGTAGTTTCTCAGATCCAGACTGAATCTCCCATTTTGGTTGCCTTCTCTCTCATCAGTAGTAGAGATATCTAATGTTCTTTCTACACTAACTATCTTTTGTTACTTAACTTTTGCCTGGAGAGAGACAATGACATTGCATTATCAGTAAAGAGCTATTTGTATTTATCCCTTTGTGATACTGACTTACAGGCTCACTGCAAGTGATAATAGCAGCAAAGCAGTCTGTGAGCAGTGCACAAGCATCCTGCTGTCTCCTTTTACTGCATTGTGAGTTATCAGTGTAGTATTTGGGAAATCAGGGGTCCTAATATTCCCATATTTCCTTTTTTTATTGACTATATATTGGTTAACTTGTGGATGAAGATCCACTGGTTTCTTATTTTGATTATTAATCACTGTTTATTATCATTACCAGAAGTACAAACGGTCTTTTTTGAAGTAAAATATTCAGAAAAACTGAGAAAATGCAAGTTAATTTGAAAGGGCCAAATTTATTCATTTCTTCACTTACTTGTGAAGCTGCATGCAATATATCTGATGTCTGTATGGACACACTTCTAGTTACATTTTGAGCTAGTGAAAGATTATTGGAGTGTACATTTGTAAATTAAAAGAATGCTGGAGTCATTCACAGTTAGAAGAAAGTAGGTGAGCCCCAAATTTTATCAGTACTGCAGTACATTTAATTTCATAAGTACTTTCTTAAAAACAAGAAACAAAAACAAAAAAAGTGAGCTGGATAGGTGATGTGAAAAATCTGCTGGTTTTTTGACAGTGTTAATATTAGCAATTCCCATAAAGCTGTGTCTGTGGGGTGCCTCAGAGATTATTTCAGTAACATGCCATAGTAGAGCAGAGCACAGTTTACTTTGTTTTGTTTGGCTGACCTTGCCATTGCTGGCTTCTATTCAAGACATTTCTACATAATTAATTGGCAATAAATGTCGCTGTTGGGGTGGTCACGACACAACTAAGAGACCAGAAGTAGTCTCGTTTGGCAACTGTTTAATACGAAATATGTCCGACTTTTTATACACTCTGATAGTTTATACTTTTTTACCTTAACTATTGGCCACAATAAATCAACATAACACCACTGGTGAAAAGTTACAGTGACTTAACTAACTTTCTAAAAATACTCCATCCAGCTGTGAAGTTCTCTTCTTGGCTTTCTTCTGTTCCTCACTTCTCTTGGTCTCCTTGGTTACAGCCTTGAAGACAGCTCCTTATCAGCTACTTCCCTGCTTCTTACTCCTTCAGCTAACAGGCCTACTGTTAGCTCCTTCCACAAATAAACATTTAAACTCATTCAGATTTAAATTCATCAAATATGGAACTCACAGCAATTTATCAGGTGCATGTATAAAGTCAGTGTGGAATGGTAGAAGCTTATGGATTAATTTCAGCTCATATATGGTTATGAGAAAAATTGCCTTTCTTTTTAATAGTGCTGCGTGGTTAGGATAAGATTATCAATTGTTCTGCACAGTCATTTCTACCTCTGCAGTCAGGAGGAATAATGGCAAATTTAGAACCTGTTGGGTAGTTGGAAGATTTTTTCGATCACTGACTCCTTAGCCACAGGTTTGCAACTTCCCTTAGAAGCAGAATGGGATTGCTTCTGCAAAACTCTTTTTTTGCAGAAGCTGGAAGTAAAATAATGTTCACAAACTTCTCCCAGCATAGGGAAACTTTTTCACAGCAGTCCTTCATTGTGTTAGCAACCAAGGGGTTTACCAGACAAAATGGTACTCAAGGACACAGGAAAGACTGTACTGATGAAAGCAGCCTTTGCATGCCATATTTCATAATGTCAGCACAGGTTTTTGGCTACTGAAGGTGTGTGAGAAGTGAATTCTTTGTTTTCTGGTGCAAGTGGCTGTTTGGTTTTCTTCCATTTTTTTCTTGTTTTGAGAAGCTCTTTCTGCAAAGAGAAAGATTTGTGCATTGTATTATGTTTAGGGCTGGGCATGACTCAGGAGACGAGTGTGAAAAGCACATTTTATAAACATAACTTAAATAGCACACTTAGTTTGCTAAATGTAATGCATTGATACTTTGGCAAAAAGAATCAAATGGATCTGCAACATACAAGAAGGTGTGAATACAGGAGTTATTCTTTGGCATCATCAGCAAAATCAGCTTTGCTCTCTGATGTCTCTTGATTTTGACTCATTCCACTACTTGGGCTGCATCAATCAGACATTTAACATTGTGTTGCATATCTACATTTTGCAGTACTCTGTTACAGAAACCACCTTTTTAGTGTTACTGTTCCTATTATAAGTGTATATTTAAAGTAGTAAATCTTAAGAATATAGTATAGCAGATCAAACTATGATATTTATTTCAGTATTTCTATGCTCTTTATATTTTACTACATTATTTTATTTTTGGAAAATATTTTATACCAGAACACTGATCTATATAAACAAAGGTCTGTGGTTTCCTCAGTTTTATTAGAGTAATGTACTTTTTTTTTTTTTTTTTTTTATGAGATGATTCATGAGTGTGCTTTTCTTGCCTATGTTATGTAAAATGTTCTTTTTCATTCTATTTAAGTGCATGCAAAAACACGAACTGAAGCTTATGAAGGCAAGCAGCTGTGAAACTAAGTTTTAATTTAAAAATAATATGTATCTTTATTAGATAATAAGCAAGAAAGAGTAAATGGAGCTTTTTATTCTGGTATTTTATTCTGGTAGATTGAGTAGGATTGTTCTGACAGATTCAATGTATTGATTTGATGGGTTTTGATTGTTTGGATGTTGCTTTTTTTTTTTTTTTAATTGCATTCTTTTAATTTGTATGGTTCATTTCAAGTGTATCTTACTTCTAGAGGCCACGCAAAGAGGCTGTGAGCATAAATGGGTTTCAAGAATAAAGTTCAGGTTTAGAATAAGAATAAACAGAAAATTCCATGATTTCTTGTGCTTGTACTGTAGTGCAAGACATCAAAATGGAGTAAATAATGTGAATATTCACCAACTAGTCCATGGAAGGAGCAACTTTCCTTCCAACTGAAAAAATCACTTTAGTCAGTGCTAAAATAGTTTGGGGCAGCTCTATTTTCGTATTATTTTTAAGACAGTTTAATTTTCATCTATACCACACATTAGCAAATGAATTACTGGATGGAACACTCACTTTCTTGTCTTGCTGAATTGTTTGGGAATGACTTTCTGCTTAAGAACAAAGTACACAGTTACTGGTTTTGTCAGAATCTTGAGTGGGTTTTTTTGAGTTTTCTAAACACCCTAATTTTTGGACTGCTCATTCTTCTTGAATAGACTTCAATATTGTTTTGGCTATGAATTTCATACTTTTAATTGACCATTTTTTCCCCTCAGCATAAAGTCTCAGCTTTCTCCTTCCAGCATGCTGGTAATCCATTACAGCTAAGGAATCTTCATCACTGCAGGAGTACTTTCATATGGTGCATTATATTGCATCTCTTTCATTTCTGAATGTTTCAGTGTGGAGTTTTTTTGGAATTGTTTAGTACTAGTGCTTTATAACAGACCATGCATCTTCGTATGCATGGGAGAATTATGAGAGGATGCACCTCGTATCATCACTTCATTTTCTACAGCTGATAGTAGATGCTGAATTTCCGTACGCAAATTTTACCTGTAGTAATCCATGCTAGAAAACAACTTCTGTCTGATTGCAGCCCTAATGAAAGCAAATTCTGAGAGTAAAATTAATCAACCTGTGGCCATTCTTAAGAGCAATGTTATTAATACATTGTGGTGTGGCATTGTCATCTATCTCTGGTGTAATATAACAAGAAATTTAAATATTATCTCTACTTTTTGAGTATTTTCTATTGCAATAAATGAGTGCATCCTAGATAAAAAAAATAAGATCATGTTTTTCTTACAAGGTAATGTTTTCTTGTGTGAGTCTTGTATGCTGTGTATTATGTGTTTAAAGTAAATGCAGGCCTACCCTGATATAAATAATAATTGACTTAATCATCCACTGTTCTCCACAGGAGTTGTCCAGGAGTTACCTGGATGACTGGGATTTTCTAAGATTTCAGAAGAATTAAGTAGAGTTTATTCAACTACTTTTCATCTTCGAAAGCCGTGTTTCTCTATATTATCTACTTTATTCTACATAGGTTGTGCAAGAACCGTAGAAGTAATCATGCTTTCTAATTGCTGTTTTTTCTTTCTTTTTCTCTTTCTCTTTCTTTCTTTCTTTCTTTCTTTCTTTCTTTCTTTCTTTCTTTCTTTCTTTCTTTCTTTCTTTCTTTCTTTCTTTTCTTTCTTTCTTTCTTTTCTTTCTTTCTTTCCTTTTCTTTCTCTTTTCTTTTTTTCTTTCTAACTAGAGTCTGTGTGTATTTACACCACCAGGAGCTAAAGAAGGACACCCACGACTCATTCCTGCAGGGCCCATTGCACATGGCACTACGGTATCTGCTTATGTAGCCAGATCCAGAAAAACGTTGTTAGTAGAAGATATTCTGGGGGTAACAAGCTTTCTTTTTTTAATGAGATATTGCAGCAAGTTCTTAGAATGAATGCTTTGATGCTGAAATATTTATTGAGATGAATGTTTAATGATAGAATTTACATCTCTCCTGATAAGTAAAGGAATGTAAATCTGAGTTTGGATTTAGCTGCTGGAATAATTGCAGAATATTTCATTTATTTCTAGTTTTAAAGGTTTGGGGTTTTTTTCTCTTTGGGTTTTTTGGTTGTCAGGTAAAGGACATGATGGAACCACAGTCACTTGGAAAAAATGACGAATCAAAACTCCTGTCTTCTTGGTCTTGAAATAGTAACCCCAAATAAGACTTTCATGTAGTCAATCAAATTTGAAAATTTGATTTAATTTTAATGCAGGACTCACACTGACCAGAATGTCAGTTAGAATTCTGGTTATTAGACAAGATTTTTATCTCTGCATACTCTAATGTAAAGCTAGAATACTGATAGTATCAGTAGATCTACATGAAAAATGCAGTAATGTAACTGATATCAAAATTCAAGCGTTTTTCTGTAGCAGGAGTTGGAAGTTCCTGAGGTGATATTCTGATGATTCTTGGCACTCTGTATGTCTGTCCTTTTTCAGTTTTTTAAAACACTTCATCCTTTAGTTGCATCTGTGCAATTTTATGAAATTGGTATTTAAGCTGTACTTTGTGTAAGCACTTTATGTTTAGTTTATGCACTTCATGATTAGTTTATGTACTTTGTGTGAGCACTTTATGAGAACACCGAGGAAGTTTACATTTTTTCTCTCTTCAGTGTTTCCTATCTTTTTAAGTTCTGTCCAGAATAACAATTTTTTGAATACTGTGACAAAAAAAAAAAAAAAAAAAAAAAAAAAAAAAAAAAAAAAAAAATTTGATGCCTAATGTAAGTACACTTAAACAGAGCCACAAAACCAAAAGGCAGAAACTGCTTTCCCTGTAGTAATAGTCAGTGCTTTCTACACACTCTGGACTATTAAGATTTTATGTGTTGGTATGTTTTTCAGTTAAATTAAGGGTTTAAATTGTTACTGGTAATTTCCAATTAAGGTAATGATATCCTTACATGCAAGAGTTCTGTATTTTGATTTTACATTCTTACTAAAATCATGGGGTTAGCGAGGAGGAGTTTTGAACTTTTTTGTTAGTTTAATATTTGTGATTCATTGACAAACAGCAAGATTCATTTTGGTGAGATGATTTGCCTTCATGTGATTTTAGAAGCTTCTCAACAGTGAAAGGGAAGCACATGAAAGGTAGACTTGCCAGACCTTTTTTTGTGGGAGGACAGAACTAAAAAGAGAAAGCAGAAGGCTCATGTTTCAAAGTGTTTACCACTCTCTCTTGTGTGTCATTTGTTCACATTGATTGTTATCTTAGTTATTAAGGTAGAGATTACTTGCTGTTTTCTTTGAGAAGTGAGAGATTTTGATCAACAGAAGGGGTGTCTGTCTTGCCTAAGCACAGGCTGCAGAGAGCATCTAGTATGAATCAGGTACTGAAGGACTGATGTGCAACGAAGTGGGTCTTGCACACTTCACACTGGGCAGTGACTGACTGCCCTACTAACTGTAACATTCAGGTGCTTTCTCAGGTCTGCCTCAGTTTTCCTACATGGGGAAGTGAAGCTATAAAGCCTTGAACATTCTCTATGAGGGTTGAAAGTTATGTATTTGGGCCTTATATAGCAGCTGGTAGGGTTATTTTAACATTTGTTTCTGTATCTTTTGCACCAGTTTATTCAGGACGTGTAAGAAAAGGAAGAAGATTGCTTACTCTCATGTGTAACTTTTTGGGAATGCATTTTCATCTTCAAAAGTTGGTTGAGGATTATAACTGTATAACCTAAAGCCTTAGCCTCAAGTTTCAATTTTTGTTTTCTTGCAAGCACTGTTGTCTGCTCTTTAATACTGAGATCTGAGCAGTCCTCTTTGTTATTACAAATTCTTTGGGGTTTTTTGGAGGAAAGGATGTTAGGATGGTAGTGTTGCTTGTTTGGGTTTTTATTTAATCTGGACTGGCATTAGCAATAAAGTGTTGTTTTTCTGCCTATGAGAATAGAGAAAAAAGCATTATATAAACAAACTCAGAGCTAGGTGTAATATTACAGCTAATTCTGGCCTTACATCAATAAGGTTATCTGTATATGTAAATTAATGCTGAGACTTCAAAATTGCATTTTTTAGTAGATATATTGTGTGGAAGTTATGCTGAGAGATGAGTTTTAGTGACTTTTGTGATTTTCCTGCAGATTTGCTCAGATAGGAGGAGGAGGAAAACATCAGTATGTCTTTGCTCTTAATGTTTTATCAGATTTTGCATTTTATCAGATTATGTTTGCATTTCCTAGGATGAGCGATTTCCCAAAGGTACTGGACTGGAGTCGGGGACCCGTATCCAATCTGTTCTGTGTTTACCAATTGTCACAGCAATTGGTGACCTGATTGGTATCCTGGAGCTTTACCGTCACTGGGGCAAAGAAGCCTTCCACCACAGTCACCAAGAGGTGAGCTCATGTGCAGCCTTTGCCCACTTCCCTACCACAGTCAGGACTTTACTCTCATCCCTCCCCCCACTCCAGACTTCCTTCTCTCGCTCTTCTCATGAGTTTATATCTTTTTCATGCTTGATTTTGTTCTTATTAAAAAGAAAATAGGTAGTGATTTGTATTTTCAGTCAGAGGAGGTAAAATATAAAGGGACACATCAAGAATTTTACCTTGTGTGCTTTTGCAGATAAACAGATTCAAAGTTCCTTATTGATTATAAACTCAATATAGAGTTGCTAGAGAAGTTAACACAGGGCAGGTAAATGAAATGTAAATGTAAATCAAACATCAAAACCCAAAATCACTTTATATAAAAAAAGACAATGCTCAGTTAACCTGAGTCTCAATATTAACTTTCCAGTACAGCTTTATTTAACATTATGGTAAGATTTAAAAATTTATTTTAGTTTACTTTTTGGTGTGGCTTCTTAAGTAATGAGGCCTATCATAAAGCAGAGTGTTGCAATGTTTCAGCAATGGTTTATCAAGTATCAATGCGGGGTCTCACAGGTGGGGAAAGTGATTTTACTTTAAATCAAATGTGAAGCAAAAGAGGTTTCTGATCTTTGCATCCATGTTTTTACTGCCACATGCTCTCCAGCACCAAGATGTGTCTGTCTAGATGGTATTTCCAGTTCCAGGTATCCAGGTGGTCCTCCTGAATTCCTTGCAACAGAAGGACAAGGGATGCTGTCTGCCGAGTCTCTGTGGTTTCTAGGTTGACAACCATGTGCTGGTTTTGGGTCAAGCTTTTCTATAGTTTTTAGGAGCTGATAGCTTTTGTCTCTCTCTATCCTCTCCCATCCCTGTGAGTTGTGAGGATCACTGTTCTTTTTCTCCTGACTTAGATGACCATAGAAACTGTGTGGTAGAAGTGCTGGTACCTGGATGACCTGCCAATCTAGGTGATGCTCATAAAGCTCTCCTCTGCTTTTTTTAACTTCTGATGCTTCCCTATCCAGATATTCTCATTCATACTTATCTTCCCCTTTCCATGACTGTTCTGTATGCATTACTCTGTTCATATAAGTTCTGTGTAGCTGTGTTGTCCATACATGTCCATTTGTCAATCTGTAGTTAGGAGCCGTTAGCCAAATACAAATGGATTTGAAAATGGAGAAGATGTTGCAAAGGCTGTTGCTGTACTAAAGGTGTTCAAAGTGCATCTTTGCTCTCATGTCCGGGTGAGGATCCATGTTATGTGCCATTAAGATGTCTCTGATGTAAAGATGAATTTCTCTCTCTGCTACCCCCCAGATAAGGGAACTTGAACACAGTTAGGACAAAATGGAGTGAATTCTATCCAGGTGTGTTGTCTCAACAGTGGTAGGAGATACACTGTGGTGCAGTTTAGCTGTACTGAGCAGGAATTATATGTGTGAAAAGGACAGAAGATATCCAGGCAAGAGATACTAAAACTAGTCCTCCCAAAGAAGGAAAACAGCATTTGTCAAGTGTATATTTTGTTTATCTGTAAGTTAAGTACGCTGGCATTCATCTGATGTTTATATGTGTATATTAGTTGGGTAGTCAATGCCACTTGTTGTCACACCTTGTATTTTTTCACCGGTAGACAGAGGTCAGGGTAGGGGTCTAGTGCGGTGGTGCCACTGTCTTTGCTCAGAGAACAAAGAACAGGCATTCATGCAAAATTAGGCTTCATTAATTCTGCAGCCTACATGCAATGTATTTAATTTTTAAAATTGTCCTATTACATTAATCAATCTACAATTCAGATAAGTCTCCGACATGCATTGTTTTATGAAAATATGAATGTCATATGAAATAGCTGCTGTAGCTAAAGTTCATGAATGTTCTACTTGGAAAAGACTAGCTGCTAAATGAAAGTATTTTGTTAGTAAATTAAAAATATTTTAAGGTCACTTTCTGAATGTTCTAAAGCATTCTTTTCATTTTCAGGTTTCATAAAGCCTTTGGATGCCATTAGCAATGTTTATGAAATGTGTGCAAAGTGTTCTGTTTAAAAATATAAAATAAAAAATACCTTAGGAGGGCATGCAAAAACTGACCTCTTGTGCATTCCCTGTGTTCCTATAAAGCTCCTGTGCTTCAAGGACAGGAGATTATGCATGGTAGCACATCATAGTTAGCTGCAGTTTACATGACAGTTGTTTGAAATGTTGCCTGGAAACTGTCATACTTAAACACTTGAGCTGAGGGATCAGGTCTGGTTCTTCTGCCACCAAAACAGTAATGAGAGAAACAGTGCCTGTTTACAGCTGGAAGTAGCTATTGCTGAAGAGATACAGCCCCAGAAAGGCATATTTTATTTCTATGGCAGATGTCTTTCAACAGTGTAATTTTTAAATCCCTCAGCTTATGAGATGTTTGTTTTGATGTTCTATTTTTGAGCTGATGGGTGCTCAATTCTGCTTCTGAAAACCATTGGTAAGCTCTAAAATTGAAACACTAGCAAGTACACTGAGACTTTTGCAAAATAACTGTCTTCCCTTTAATTGTTACTGCCTGACTGTCTAAAGCAGCTCAGTCAATTTACTTAGCAGGTAGATAGAGAAAAGAGGCATGTCACTGATATGCAATTTTCAAGGTTTCTTCTGAGAGAGTTTCTTCTCTTTTGTTGCAGGTTGCAACAGCAAATCTTGCATGGGCTTCAGTAGCAATACATCAAGTACAAGTAAGTGTCAGTGGTTTTTAATTTTTTTATTGTGTATCTTGTCTTCCAGAATGTACTTAGTAGGAGCATGGACTGTGATTAGATTTAACTGGACGTCATTGCTAAAGCATTGATTAAAGCCCTTCCTTGAACCTGGAAAAATATGCTAATATTTTTGGTGTTCGTTGAACTAGTTTTCTTCACTTGCAATCATGGATCAAATGACAAACAATATTTGTACTAAAGGAAAGAAATTTGAACAAAGTAGATAAATAATGATTAAAGCAGATTTATCCTAACAACTTTGCAGGGTTGTTTAGTTTTCTTTTTCTTGTGGAAAGGCAACTGCTAGGCTAACTGGTTGCTTTCCTCCTGCTTTGGTATTTGTTTTGAAATTATGAAGTGTTGGTAGCAAAGCCTATTTTAAGCCATCCTCGCTAGCTCCTTTAACTACTGCCACTAAGGATGCATCATGCTGTCCCTAGCTGGGTGCCTAATGGAGCTTCAGTGTTAAGCTGCTCTAGCAAACCCCAGCAGCATTGCTAATAGGTTTTGTTACTTCAGCTAGCAGAAGAAACTAAACATATTCTGTCAACTCAGAGAAGATGCTAAAATAGATTCTTCTGTCAACTCCCAGGAGGAAATTCATTACATTCTTTTTTTCAAGGTGTTCTTCACATACTTGTCAGAAGACATACAGAAAGCTTCCTGCTTTTCTCTTGTAGTCAATAATCTTTTCTGCTTTTATGCTGGAAGTCACTGACTTTGGGGTGGTCAATCCCATCTAGACAGAATTAGTGAGCACAGATTATTACACGGTAGTAGAATTGCAATTGCATGCAGTTGTAGCTTTACCTATGTAAGAATTACTCTCTCCTTGATTGAAAAGTCTTTCACATCTAACAAAACACAACAGGGAAAGTGAAGTTCAAGCTTGTCCATTTTTATTTCTGTTCCTTCTTCTAAGCAGATGGCTTGCTTTTCCCAAGTTTTTTGCATGAGAAGAATGCAAGAGTTTTGATCTGGCATTTTGTATCTACATTGCACAGATGAAAAATATTACTAGTTCAAAGTGGTATTTTTGTGAGTGTAGAATGTTCAAGCAGTAGAGGTTTGTTTTACTTTTGGCCTCAGTGCTTGCTCTAGTAATATACAAATGTACAGTTGTGCTTCAGATACTGAGTATCTGAAGTAAACATGAAGTATACATGAAGTAAAATACAGTTGAAAGCTTTGCTTCATCTAACATTTTGCTTCTAAAAAGAAGTATGCATACTATTTTCTTTATTAATATTCCTGCTGATTTCTCCCTAAGCTGAGCATATATCATCCGCTGCTTAGCTTAGTTAAACTTGACTGATGTCAGGCTACAGTTGTGTCTGTATGCGACTTTGCAGCTTGGAGAAAAGTGGCAAAAATGTGGTAAGGGAAAGGAGAAACAAAATATTTGACATTCTCAGAAGATCTGAGGGTCTGGATAAGGAAACGTTCATTCCATAATCACAGTCAGTGACAGCCTTTGAGACAGCATGAACAAGTGTAGAAACCAACAGCTTTAAGTGAGTCTTAGGAAGGATTTTACTTGTGTTTCACAGTTTTTACTCAGCAGCTAGATAGCTAAGATTGAAACCCAGCACACAAATTCAGCTTTAATTTCATACAGTGCTGTATCAGATAGGTGTATATATATGTGTGTGTGTATACATATATATACACACATATATATATGCATATATACATATATATGTATATATATGTATGTACACACACAAATACACACAAGTACTGGTGGGGTTTTTCATACAAATTAAAGGGATAGGACTTCAGTTTCCCTCTGACATCAGTGTTCTGGAGCAAATGGTTCTATGATCTGTGCTTCCAGGTGTGCCGGGGCCTTGCCAAGCAGACTGAACTGAACGACTTCTTGCTTGATGTATCGAAGTAAGTGTGATTTGCAAGATAATCTCATGAGTTTTTGATGAGCTTTTCTAGCGTGGCTCTTCCAATCTACCTGTGTTCACTCAGTAGCAGTAGTGGAAGCTACCATAGCTCACAGGCAGGTGCAAAGGCACACTTCAGAGGGTGGGCAAACTTCAGCACAGGGACAAGAACAAGTGGTATGCGTGGCAGTGGTGTATACCTTCATAATTCTTTTTTTTTGTGGTGGTGGTGCAGATGAAAATGTGACATTCATTTATACCTTACAGAATTTGTTTATTCTTGTGGTCTTTTGCATGGAGTTTTTTCCTCTTTTTTTCCATCTCTTCTGTCAAAGTTAAATGTGACCACCTTTTTAGAAGTGAAAAATAGCCTTGGTGTCTCACAGCAATTTTAAAAGGCTTGAAAGGACTTTAGAAAGTTGTTTTGTGTGCTTCAGCTTCCAATATTCTCCCAACAATTTTTTGGACATGAATGCATGTATTCATAAATATATGGATTTCAGAGTTAAATTCTTGAAGAATCAAGTCTGCTACATGGTTCCTCTTCCTGTACATTTTCTGAAGGATCTGTTTTAATTTTCAAAGAATTTTATTGCATGTAATATGTTTGCTTTTAAATTCTTGTCACTATAACGCAAGATTATTTTGAAAGCACAGAAAGAGTGTGAAAGCTTGAGCTTACACTGACAAAATCAGTTTAGTGTCTTAAGTGATCTGCTCTTCCGTCATCTCTTTTTGTTTGTCACTGCTATGAGAATCTTTAAATAGCAAGGATAACCCATAAATTAAAAGATAAACCTGAGCTGTACTTCTGGTAAATCAGTCTGGAGTCCTTAACAGTGTTTTATGAAACTAGTTGGTAGAAAAATTTCAAAGCACATCACAAAGCAGTGATGATACTGTGGAAAAATGAAATGTCTTGTATTTTAGCTGCAAACACTTCTGTGGGTCTTGATGAACAATTCTCAAGCTGATGAGATTAGAGGATGTCCTAGATTCCTATGCCATTGCTTAGGAATGTAGGCAGCCAAGCTGACCCAGCTGGAGGGGAAAGTAATAAACTACAGGAGGGACTCTGCCCCTCTGCAAGGAGGACAAACTGGTTGTAGCCAGATGTTTTCCCGTACTTTTTCCTCAGGATGACCTTTTTTTAAATTTCAACATAATTCAGAGCATGTCTCCCAAAGGGCACTCTTACAAAGTCTTGCATGATTATATTCTTTTCCAGAGTGCTTTTATGTTGCTAAAATCCATACTGAACTAGTTTACCAAAAAACTGTATTACTATATTAATCTATCCAGATTTATGGACTGGTAATTTTTTCTTAGACTGGCATAGTACTGAGATTGTTTTAAAGAATTTTGTAATTGTTTTAAGTTTTTAAGATAAAAAGTAATAAGTACTGCAAATATTTATTATGCCTTTCTATAAGAAAATAATTCTCATATCATTATTATCATTTGCTAGAGTTTTTAGTTTCAACGAAAGAAGAAAGTCTATATTTGAGGCACAAAACTGGGATATTATTTAATAATATCATTATGAACTTCATGTAGGCATCAGCAAGAAAATAATTTGTTTCCTCTTGGAAGTGATCTGTATCTTTTCTAACATGGAAGGAGAATTTCTTTTCAATGAGGAAATTGTTAGTGTGCAATGTCACCAGGACATGTTCTGTAACATTTTAGAAAGGGCAGAGTATTCAGTGCTCCACCCTCTCCATGCCCTATATCTGACCAGTATATTTTGTATCTCCTTTCCACAGAACTGAGCTGTGTATATATTCAAGGCCACGAGACAATGCCTTTTGTCTGCTGGGAACATTGTAATCTGAGGATTATTGATACTCAGCATGTGGAAGATTTAGATTTCTTTTACTAATTAGTTTGACCTTTATCTTTCAATGTTCTTGACTGTCCTTGAACAGTTACCACTTTGCTGTGAAAATGAGATTTTTTAAAATTCTTTTTTATTTTTTAAGTTATGATGGCATTCCCTTTCTTCAACTTCAACAGGTTTTGATAGAGACAACCCATTAAGAGTTTCTTAAGTAGTTGCCTTTGAACTAGTGTTAAGGATTAGATAATATAACATCCGTTTAGCTATTTTTTGATATTTTGAAAGAGTTTGTTGTTGTTGTTGTTGTTTTCTACTTCTTTTCTTTTCCTTTTTTCTTCCAATTTCTTTAAAATTTTCAGTGTGTTAGAGGTGCCAAAGCATTTTGATGCATTCTTGGTATTGCTCAGCAGGAGCCTATTCAGTTCACGGCAGGCAATGTTTGGTAGTCTTTTCCTTTTTCTACAGAGAAAATTCTATGTATAATAAAGAATATTCTCAGTTCTGTAGAATAATGGCTCAAGGGAACAGAGCTAAGACCATTTCTTAATTCCCTTGTGCTGTAGCAAGCCAGTCAGTGATTTTCAAGGTGCTGAGGTCTGTCCTCGCCTTTTCTGGCTCCATGTTAAGCCATAGTGAAACAAGAGCCCCTGACGCTAATTTGAGAAGTGTTTGACTAAATGCCAATGTTTTCTGACTTCTCTTTCTCTGCAGAACATATTTTGATAATATAGTTGCAATAGATTCTCTACTTGAACATATAATGGTAAGTTGTCTTTTTCACCTCTAAGTTTATTAGTTGTAGGTATTAAAGCCCTTCATTCTCTTTCCCTTGAAGACATTATATCATTGAAATATATGAGCTGTTTGTAATGAACACGTAACACAAACAGTATAAACATGTCTATACAGAAAAGGTGGTAAAGGATGGCTTGATTTGTCATTTTTGCAACAACTTCTGTTCACAGCTTTCCTAAGGACTGAAACAGGCCTGTGTCTGAACTAAATAGTTACTATTGTGTTCTGAGAAAGTTTGAAAATTTTAACAGAAAGTCTTATGGTTTTCTTTTTATTTCAGCATATTATATTTATTCCTTCTTCCTAAATTCAATTCACTACATGCTACAAATCACTGCTGAAAAAGTTACTGTCTGTAGCAGGGATAGAGTTTAAAAATTACTCCTGGGGCATTTTCTCCAATTGTTGAATGAGATTGGTAAGACCTTGGAAAACTATACCCATAACGAGAGTGACAGTCAGTCAATATTTTATAGAATCCACTAAAGCCAAGTGGTTAGTTCTCCCCATTGAAATATTTATTTAATGACTTAAAGTACTGTTCAGAAGCAGTTTATGAGTTTCTAAATAAATTTTGAATTAATAATTATATCCTGAATAGTGGTAACAATGTGGGTGAACTGGTTATTTATAATGTTTTGAGTGTTTGGTATGTGAATTATGCTTTTTAGTTTTATGCACATTCATTCCATTCTGCAGTTCTTTTTCCTAAATGTAAACCTGAATCAGGTCTGCGATTACCATTGTTTAAAATTTGCACATTCAAAAAATTACTTTCCAACAGTGCTCAGATGCATGCCCCAGTCTCCAAAGTGATATTCTTAGCTAGACTATTCAAAGACAGTGATGTTAGAACGCAAAGTGGTTTTACTTAGAAACATGAATGTTTCTAAATAAATGGAAATGGAAAATATTCTGCAGTGCTTGTGTTATTCTAGTTAGTACACTGTCAAGAATTCTGCAGATAGGACACATTTCTGAACATTGACTTTTCCAATTTAAATGAACCTCTTAAAAATAGCTTAGCATTTGAAAGAACTGGTACAACATAACATATGGCATTGAGAACAAATATTGATATTCTTCACTGTTCTTCCCTGTGAATAGAGATCTGGTGGAAAACACAATTGGCAGTAAAATATGCTTACTCTTTCATCATCTTTTCCAACACTTGGCTGCATCATGATTCTGTATTTTAACCTGTGTGATGTTTCATACTCAGCATCCTTTAAAGCTGTAGCTGTTGTCTCTTTCTTGAGCCAGTCATCTGAATTATGAGTTTGTACATTTATTGCCCTTTCATGGGTGTGTGATTTTATCATGATGTGAGAAAAGACTGTGAGAAAAGACCAGAAGTCAGTTTCTTCTGAGAAACTGAGAAACTTTTTTTCACTACTTCACCCTTTGGTGGTTGCACTTATGGTTTGATTTGTTCCTGCAATACTGAAGAAAAAATATGTGTGTTTCTTTTCATTCTTTTCATTTTTATTTCCATCAAAATCTTTTAGCAAAGCTAGTGATATAAGGGTGGTTTTGAATGTAAGTGCAAGGAAGGGAAGTAAAAGTTCAAGTTGCCTTACAAATTTTCTTTCCCTTATGCTTGAGTAGTTACAAGCAGCTTATGCGAAAGGTGGTCCCTGGCTTCCCTACTGACAGTGCAAAACATACTTTTTGTACTGATACTCTTTTTCAACCACTAGTCAGGATTTGAGCAAGGGATTTATAGAAGTAAAACTCTCTCATCCGATTAACTGTTTCTCAATTAATACTGATTAAGTAATCATTTAAAGCATGAGTCATGAGCAAGGTAAGTTCTTGAGTCATATGCATTAAACGACAAAAGATTAATTGTATAAAATCAACATTGTGCTGTAGACTTTACAAAGAAATCTGATACAGTATCTGAATAGAAGCATTTACTGGACCCCTTGTCCTTTTGGCAGTTTCTGTTCACTCTCTTTTGAGCAAAACAATAAGCAATCCACGTGGTTAAGGTGTTTAAATTTCTTGATGCTCTAAAGGGGAAAAATTGCACAAATCTTACCTCTTAGCAGCCTCCCTGACTTTTCTGTTCTGATGGAGTAAATGGAGTAGAAGACAACAGAATCTTCCTGAACACATATTCAGTCTGTATGGGAGGACCCTCAAAGTTCTGGACTTGCTCTAGATGGTATCTGTGCAGTTCCCCTCATATGGCATAGAACTAGAGTCTCTCAGCTAATGATTTTTCATCTCATATGGGGTTTTTTTCTGCTGAATATTTGTCCATCTGCATTAGTGTGAAATGAAATACTTCATTGTTTTGTTTCTATTTTTGGAAGATGAGAGAGAAGGGGTGGGGAAGATCATTCATATGGAAGTCTTATGAATCCTTAAAATATACCAACTGCATGCATTGCACACCAAGGTTTTGTTAGCCTCTTTCTGTAGCTGAATGACTAGGTAGGTATTATATAAAAAGTGGAGAGATCCACTTCAGATCCTACTCTACCATGCAGTTACTGTACTTTCTGAGCAAATAAGAAACACATGAGACCTATCTGAATTGGATAGAGAAGGTTCTTGTGCCTGTATATTGGTATCTTAACACAGTGATCCTTGTTTGATTTTTGTCTCACTTTTCCCTCTTTTTCTCAGAAAGACTATTGTATGTCTGAGAAATACTTCAGTGAAGAGCTGCTGTGTTGCCAAGACAAAATTCTATTCTGACAGTCAGTGCTTCTGGGTGTTATTTTTGCTGAGATAAAACTAGTTGGTTCGAAGAGAGACTGTGCAAGTCTATTGCTGTACTGTGGTACTTCCTTGGCTGTGGCTGGTGCCTTTGGGCTTTGGTTAGTTCATGCACAATTTCTAAGTCTCAGCCCTTGTGCAAATACTGTCCCTAACATCAGGCGGGTACAGCCATTTCCTATCCCTCTGCATAGGGCAATCCATAATGATACCTCTAATGACAGAATCAAGAGTGTCACAAAATATTTCTGACTTAGAAGGGACCCACAAGGCTCATTTGGTTATTGTTTTTTACAGGCACACTTAGCTTTTTTAGAAGAAAACACTACACTTTCTATTATGTCTGTCTTTGCTGGATTATTAAATACCAATATATTTGCATTGACAATGAAGGCAAAAGCCAGAATCGTTCTTAGGTCTTGCTCTAACTTATCTATTTAAAATCAGATTAAGGTGAATATTATCTGAACTTAGAGGGAAGAAAGGTACTGTTTTGGAAGGCCTTGAAAAACAATTAAACAGGAAAGCCTATTTTTTGGGGGGAAACATTCTAGTCTCTGAAATATTCCTGCATTTCTTGAAGAGAACACGCAAATTTACAGAGAAAATATTGAATTCAAGATTTTGCTTCTGAATTGTATTCTAAAAGATTGCTCCTTCAAACAGATTTCCATACTGGATAGCTTCTCAAAACTTTTATCATGCAGGAATGTATATTTTTATCAGGTAAATGATTGGAGATAATACAACTCATGACCGTTAACTCTAGTTTTGTTTTTTGTCTGTAGATATATGCAAAAAACCTGGTGAATGCAGATAGGTGTGCACTCTTCCAGGTTGACCACAAAAATAAGGAGCTGTATTCAGACCTTTTTGATATTGGAGAAGAAAATGATGGAAAACCTGTCTTCAAGAAGACCAAAGAAATAAGGTAAGAACAGCTAGCAGAAGAGTACAGTTTCATTATAACTATGGATGTGCAGGCATTTTATTACCCAGTTTCTGTGCCTATCTGCAGGTACCCTGACAATACTTGTCATACTGTGATATCATTCCCACCAGGACCCGCCTCCAGAAGGTAGTACTTCTGGGAATGACATTGCAGTGCCATCGAAACAGCGTCTCTGAAGCTATAACGTCACTCCTGGAAATGCCGTCTTCCGGAGGCGGTCCTTTTGGAAATCATGTTGGGAAAAAAACAGAGGTGTTCTGAGGTAGGTAAAGGTGCAGGTAATAGTGCACCTAATCCATAGTCTGCCAGCTAGGGACTTTTTTTCCCAAGAGGGTTCCCAAGAGGAAGTAAAATTTGTGTGATTCCAGCACATCCAAAGCAAGGAAATTACAATTTGTACTTCTTATGGATGGATTAGTCAAATGTAGAATTGAGTATGGATTGGTCATTCACTTTGAAGATTTCAAGCTCAGTAATTTAATTTTATTTTTCTCATGTGAATTTAGATTTTCACACTTACAATTAATTGTGATACTGAACAATGCTTGAAATGGTGAATTTGAAAATGTATATTGTCTGGTAATCACCAGAAAGGATTCTCTGACTAAAAGTTATGTGCTTCATATCACAGGTACCTAATTTTTACACTTACGCACTTTTTTTAATGAAAGAGGCTTAACAACAAAGTAAATATAGTGTTTTTCACTTTTTAAAAATTATGACTCCCTAATAGAACCAGACTAAGATTTTCAAAGGCATACAGGTTTCAGATTTTTATCTTCTTAAAAGTAAAGTATCCTGTACTAAAATGTTCCTAAAATATTCAGCGTTGATTTTTATCAGAACTATTTTCATTTCCTTCTTACACTTTTAAAGTTCTGAGCCAATATGAGATGTGCTTCGTGTCTTCACTAAGACTCCTTTAGACAAACCTACTCCCACTTGCCATTGTGTGAGTGAGAATGGAAGGAATAAAAATTGGTGCAATTTGCGTACTGACAAGCAAGGAGGTGGTGTAAATTAAAGAAGATGGCCTGCTTTAACATGCACTTTAAGAAGTGTACTCCTTCGTGATAATTGTTGTTCTTGCCTATATCTTTCTGTCTTTTCTGTATGTTATTGAAATGTTGATTCTAAGTGCAAGGGTGTGAGCCGTTTCACAGGTACTGTATACTGAAAGTGAAGTGCAACTTAAATTTATCTGTAAGAAAGTGACACTGAGTGAGTCATCAGGAAGGAGTCTTAAGTTGGTGTGATGTACCTGTCATAAGAAGCAACAGAAAAATAACTTAAAGTCAGGTGTGCAGGGTGAAATCTTGACAGCTTTATCACTAACTTCAATACCAGGCACCAGGGCAGTATCAGGGTACATTTAGACTTCAAAGTGTTCCACGTATGATTCTTTTTATGCATTTTTCTTCATAAATTATCTTTTGATTTTATGTCATAACTGCTTAATGTTGAAATATTGAAAAGTACTTACTCACAAGACAGACGTACAGATTTTTCTGATATAACTTAGGAATATATTTGTTGTGTTTAACTTCCTTGTGGTGATTATGGGACTTAGTACCATGGCATTGTTTGATTGTCATGAAACAGACTAGTTATTCCCAAGTCTACATGGAAAATCCATATAATGTTCAGCTATGAAATTTCCACTAATCTTTTTCCAAAATTTTGTTACCAAATCCACACATATATGCCACCCAAGGAAACAAGTTCCGTGTTGTCTTTGTTGTGTCTAAAGAAGCAATGAATATATGGAAGTCATAATAAAATCAATACCTTTTAAATGTAAACACAACTCTGCGTTCTGTACAAATGTTATGTTTGTTAGGGATAACCCCCTGGGTTATTTAAGATTTTGAATTTTTGTCACTAAAATTGTAATGTTGTGTTTTGTATTAAACTATATAGCTCTATAAAACATTTCCAGAAAGTATCTGCTAGGATGTACTTTTTGTTTTATTATGTGCTATTAGTTGTTTTAAGATTTTTCTCCTCAAAGCAAGAAAATGGCGCTGGCTGGGGACACCCATTACTGTGCCCAACACAGACTCCACTAGAAAAATGTGTTTTCCATATTTTGGCTAATATACATTTTTATTTTCTCCAGATTTTCTATAGAAAAAGGAATAGCTGGTCAAGTGGCAAGAACAGGAGAAGTCCTTAACATTCCTGATGCCTATGCAGACCCACGCTTTAACAGGTACAATGCTCTTCATTGGAGGGGAAGATAGTTCATCAAACCTTTTACATAAAATTACTACTTAAATTTCATATTGAGATTCATTCATGGAGCTGTAGTCCTCTGACGAGGAGGTAATTATAGATGTTTATTAAATGCTTGAGCCGTCAGAGATATTTTTAAGATACAAATAAAAGTATTTTTTTTTAAATGGTGATATAATGGAGAAAAATTTAGTTAGATTGTTGCCAAGTTTCATTATCAGTCTCCCTGCAATCTCATTAGTTTCATGAGAGAAAAACAGTTCACTAACAAATAGCATGCCTAAGAGTACCCGAATGTTCTTCTAACTCTGTGTTTGAGGCACTATTAATTATATGTCTAGGATTAAAGGATTAAAAAATTCTTTCTAAGTATGACACAGTAGATAAAAATATTTGAGGGTTTTGAGGGTGAAATTCTTGCAGGTACTAATTAGATCTACTTTAAATGATTAAGTATATTTTACATCAACATTTCTGAGACTCAAGGAATAGATACCCATTGATATTAACTCTTTTCTCTCTTTTCTTTCTCTTTTATGGCTCTTCAGAGAAGTAGACCTCTACACAGGCTACACAACCAGAAATATCCTGTGCATGCCTATTGTGAGCCGAGGAAGTGTAATAGGTGTTGTGCAGATGGTGAACAAAATAAGTGGAAGTGCCTTCTCTAAAACTGATGAGAACAACTTTAAAATGTTTGCAGTCTTTTGTGCTTTAGCCTTACACTGTGCTAATGTAAGTTTTATTTACAGTTTTGTAAGTTATGATGAGAATACTTAAGTATTTTGATGTTACACCTTAGTAAAATGATTTGTAAGTCTATTTCATTGAATTAACACTGTATTCCTTGGTGAATAATTCTATTTTAAGAGGATGATAGGGATTTCCTTTGAAACAACCATAGTCTGGATATATCAGTTTTGTGTAACTAAAATGAGAGAGCAAGCTCTGATATCTGTCTTCTCTTTTCCACTAAAAAATATTATTATTATTTACTTACATAAATTCAGATTACATTTTATAAATTTAACTGGGGAATGGAAATATGCTATATATTCTCTCAATTCCATATTCTTAATACTCAAAGATCAAATTTTACACATATATGCTGTGGTATATGCTTATAATTATCCATGCTTCTAGATAAGAGTGAGTAGCTATTTTTGTCCTCAAACCCTTTGTCATCTCAAAATTTACTATGCCTGTAGGAAACATAAGCAATATAATGATCACTGCTATATAAGTATAAAAATTCAGTAAAAATGCAATGCAGAAGAACGGAGTTATATTCATGGGAGGTAAGATAAAATGCAATGGCTGTTAAGCCTGGTGATTTACATTAATTTTACCAATATCATCCCAGTGGTACACTGGGGCAGCAAAATTTATTACCAGGTGCCTCAAGTTGTTTAACTTGGATCAAGGCAGGTAGAATGGCCAGTATATAAATGACACTTGGGACTATGCACTCATTTGTGTGTGAGTTCACTACTTTTGCATGGTGAATGTTGCCATTCAAGGCATAGTGCTCCAGAGGATGTTTTTAGCTAGTAGATAGTTATGTCCTCACTTGTTTGCAAACCATGCCGTGCCTGAGCCTCTCAGTTATTATTATGTACTTATTTTTCATACTGAATAATAATGTAGTTATGATAAACTGCGCATAGATAGCAGTAATTTGTGCCAATTAATAGAATTCATACAGTGGCAGAAGATATGAATTGTGTCCTGTTGTAGGTTTTCTGACAAAATTTTGCAAGGGACTTAGCTTTGTTTTTGACTCCAGAACTTGGATTGTTTTTCTTGGGAGGGCTCACATGCAATTAAAAGTCAGCTAAGCCTTAGATGTTTACCCAAGTGAGTACATGAAGAGGTTTGCCAGAAGAACGGAATTCAGTGTAATCTGTTGCTTTTCTAATGTGTGAAGTTGTGCAGCCAAAAGCACTATCATTTCTGCAGATGTGTATTGTAATAATCACTGCTTCAATACAGGAAGTAATTTTTTTTTCTTTATTAAATTCCACATTCATGCATGACTTTACTTGTTCAGATGTACCACAGAATTCGTCATTCAGAGTGTATTTACCGTGTGACGATGGAGAAGCTATCCTACCACAGTGTTTGTACAGCAGAAGAGTGGCAAAACCTCATGCACTGTACACTGCCTCCACATATTTATAAAGAAATTGAGCTGTAAGTATTTTTCTAATGTAGCAGCAGTTGTATATAGCCTGTTATTTTTTTTTTTTCTTATTTGTCGTGGAGTTTTTTTAGGAAGCACTTTCATTATTGAACCACATCAATATCATCGTGGTTTTATCTCCAGCTTTCTTATACTTAGCTATACTTAATGACCCGCAAACAAAATTTATCCATCAAAGATATACAATTATACGTACTCAGAATTTTTCCACAGGCACAGGTAGATGTAGTAGTTGCTTTAAACATTAGTTTTTACCTAGGATTTGTAGAGATGAGCTTTCATTCTTATAGTCCCAAATCACCATCAGCTCAGAGCCGAGAGAAAGCTGAGCTTGGAACATCACTACTTAACACCAAATGCATAATCTCATCCCCTTAGATATGTTTTAGAATTAAACATATTTCTCCCAGCTTATTCCTAGGGTTTTCTAGGTTGTTTATGTTTTTTAGGTTTGGTTTTGGGGGTGTGGTTGTGTGTGTTGGGGGTGTTTGGTATTTTTGTGAGTTTCGAGTATGTGTGTGTTGTGCATCTGCTTGTGTTTATTGAAGGGGAAAATGATAATTCACAGTTAAATATCCCAGGTGCTAGAGGGTAGAGTTGCAGCCTAACTTTGGAGGAGGACTTCCCATCCAGCCTTTTAGCCTTTCTCTGACATAATTCAGTTATTTTCAGCTGCTGTATGCTGAAGATGACCCTCTACCTGCATTTTTTTGGCCAGTCCCCACTCAATGCTAGCAATGGGAGCCTTCACATTTTTAAGTCACTCTTTTTGGTCCAGGACAATAAATTCTACTCTAGTAACCAGATGCCTAAAATCAGCTATTGAGTCTCAAAACCTAAATTGTCTTTTTACACCTCATCTCCAGAGCTCGCTCACTTTTGTTCAGCACTGAGCATTGTAGCTGGGAGCAAGGTGAAAGCCTGTGTTTAACAGGGACTGCTTATTGTTAAAGTTCATTACATGTTGAAGTGATTTGCTTGAATGCCAGAGCATTAACAGCTTGCAGGATTACACCCTAATAGGAGCTTATTCTTTGTAGTACAATTTCTTGTGCTTTGTTAGGTGATATTATATAACCCACCTCCTCAGCAAAAATGAATTTTACTTGCAAAGATGACAGGTTTCATTCTAAATTATATTAGCATCCTTTAGTTCAAGCAGAACACATTTCACCATTTTCCAAGCAATTCAGCTACCTTCATTCCTCTCACAAACTGCTGTGCTGTTCAGTGTGGCAAGCAGTTAAGGTTCCATGGAGAAAAAAATATAGGACTTGCAGCACAGAAAGTGCAGGGAAATGGTTAATTAATAATTTAAAGAAAAAACAATTTTTCTGTCCTGGGTCCCTAAAATTAGGCCTCAGTATTGTTATCAGGGGAGGGGAGAAGTCTTCAGGTAATGAAACATTAAAGATATGGTATTAAATGTTAAATTTTTGAAGTTTTGGCTTGATTTCTATTAGCCAGTAAAAACTGATTTTTTCCTCTATCAAAATTAGAGTAAGTCTCATGCAATTTATGACAAAAATTATTGGGAAAAAAGGCCAGTAAATACATTATTAGAGACACCATCTTTACTATTCCTGGGAAGAAAGTCCTGAATATTTTAGAAGTGCCTGTAAATCTCTCATTGTTCCTGAGATTTTTTTTTGTCTATTACCTAATCTGTGGATCCTTAGATAAAGATAGATGTTTCTATTATGTAAACCAAGCCAAAAGCTAGCTGTTGAACTCGATCATAAGAGTCTTTTCCAATATAATATTGGAAAATATTATATTCCAATATAATATTTTCCAATATAAATTACTAAATTATTGTATGAAACTATAAGCATAGTTCCATTGACCTTAGCAGGAATACGTAACTTGAAAAATATAACCTGTATTCTGTGTGTATTCAGAAAGAAGTGAATCTTGCAGGATATACATTTCCTAGTCATTTTCACTTGTTTTTAGTAACAATGAAAAGGTATTTGTCTTTTCTAAACTGAAACTTTCTTCTCTAGATACCATTTTGATATCAGTCCATATGAAGATGTTTGGCCTGCTATTTTTGTCTATATGGTTCACCAGTCCTGTGGGACAGCCTGGTATGAAGTATATTATTTCTTTAGTTATTAAGTCTGTGCTTATTTATTTCTAATTTTTGAGATAATTACTTCCGAATTCAAGGTCTGTTTTCTTTGATGTTTATTTACTATGTTTGGTCTGTACAAGACTGTAATAAACACTTTGGATTTCTTGTCCCACCTTCTTGGTCCTTAGTTAATAAAATCTGGGAACAGTGAGGGTAAAGTACTCATTATATCATCCTAACAGTTGACCTTCCAATTGACAGAAAAATTTTTTGGTTCTGAGATGAATTTGCCTTTCAGACAGAAGATGGAAAAGGCAGCAAAAAACTACTTTTCCCAAAAAAGACTGAAGGAGCATGAAAACTGGTTTTTCAGATGTATACTTGCTGAAATTAATCATGTATGTGGTAAAAGTAAACCAAGATCAGACCTTATCTTGCTAAATTAATCAGTTATTTGCATAGTGTTGCATTAATTATGGAAGTGAATTGTTTTCAAATTAAATGCTTCATTTGCTGTCATTTCTCTCAGTGTTCCTTATTATTACTAAGATCAGTAAGGTAAGTATGGCCCATTGCTAAAATAAAGGAGCTGCTCCAAATTATGGAAAACTTACAGATGGTTAATTGAAAGGGGAAATATGTCCCTACAAAAGGGAGCAACACTTGGGAAATGTTTGCTGGCATTTAATTTTATTTTGCTAACTGAATGGATGTCCTCAAAGTGTGCAGTCAAAACAGAGGATCTTTCAGTCTTTCTCGATGCTGCGAAGTGGGTGACTCTTCTGAACACAGTACTGTACTGCTTAGTGCAGTTAGCTTGTTTCCATTCCAGACTGAATAGCTGTGGATGCAGAGTTTGGGTTTGTATTTTCAGTCAGGTTCTGTTCTCTTCTCTCTCTGACTCCCGGTCTCTTCCTTTCAATGTGTAACTTTGATGAGAAAGAATTGATACCTACTTGGTGTTTATCAAATGAATCTCAACTTTCACATACAAAATTAGGGAAACAAAAGTGAGGAAAATATTTCAAAAGGAGATTGTTGGAACAGGACCTGTATTTAATTTCTGAAAGAACAAAACTTCTCAAACCTTTGAAACAAAGCCAAAACTTTTAGGACTTAAATTTGATTTTAATATATTGAGGAATAAAGTTATGCCTTAAAGTAGTTACCTACGTAATGTATAATTTTCCTGTCCAGGGAGGATTTCAGAGAAAAGTCTGTCATACTCACTACATTTTCTCTTCTGAAGAAATAATATTTTACTGCTTAATCAAGTACAAAATACAGCAGTGGATGAAGTAGTAATATTCTATGTTGAGGCAGCACAGATAATAATTTTTCCTTTGTCTATAATTGTGCCATTGTGTAATAACCATTGAACTGAGATTTGGATGTAGGTGAAAGTGACTATTGTGATATTCTGAATTATGATGTACTACTTTGAACAATAGAGTTCTATTTCTTTCTGACTTCCTAGAATTAAAAGGAAAAGCCTAAAGTTTTTTGAAAGACAGTATGCCTCTGTTTTTCCTTATGTCAGATTAAGGCTGAAAATAATAATTACGCTGAGCAGCACACAACTGTAGAAATACACATTTCTGCCTGTTTCCACAGAGTAAATGTGTCTATATTTTTATACATAGGTCAGAGAGGTTTTTTTCTCACCCCACAAGTACTGCAAAACTAGAACATTAGTACCACTTTCCTGATATACCCAAGAAATTATTAAAACATGGAACTTAAAAAGAAAGTCAAATCGCAGCAACAGGGGAAAAAATGGAATAAAGGAAAACTGCCTTTTAATGAGGGAAAAAGTAATTGATTTAGGACTTAACAAAATATTCTTTGTTGAGAAGTGAAGAAACCATGAGATGTAAATTTCTGTTCTGTGAGTCTAAACTGAAAGAAAAAAATCTACAAATATTGGAAAAAAAAAAAACCTTCTGCTTCTCACAATGTCAATATGGAGCACGTCTATTTAACCAGGTTTATCTCTTCTGGGTCCTTTGCTTTAAAAGCCCCGAATTTTCTGTTTTGATCACAAATCATGTTTTCAAATTGTTCATTAGATGCAGAGTTGTACTATATTTCAAGTTGAATAAGCAATTGAAAGAAATCAATTCAAGTTCCTGGCAGCAGGGAAGGTCATGCAATTGTACTGACTGAGCTGGGTAGCATGACTTATGTTCCCGAATTTAACAGATTAAACCAAGAGCATTGTCAGGCATCCACACTCCTCTGTCCTTGCCAAACTTGAGTGACTCTTCATGTCATTAAATAAGTCATCCACAGTGAGAGTCAGTCCTAGCAAGGAGGGTAAATCAAAGACCATCTTTTCTCCTCTCTTGGTTGTTTTTCCTGTTCCTATTTCTTGTCTCTGACCAAATTATTTTCTTCCTAGCTTTGAACTTGAAAAGCTCTGCCGATTTACTATGTCTGTAAAGAAGAACTATCGCCGTGTGCCCTACCACAACTGGAAGCATGCAGTTACTGTTGCACATTGCATGTATGCCATACTGCAGAACAACCAGGGACTTTTCACTGATCTAGAGGTAGGTGACATAATGGTATCAGTTACCACACCTCATCAGAGCTGTCAGAGCTGTACTTGTTGTTCAAGTACATTTTCTGTGCTAGAGGTATTTTTGTCAGCTTGGGCAGAGTGTATGTAAAGGCCTGCATGGAGGAATGGATGTCAGTAAAGAGTTTGAGGAAGGAGGATTACTCAGATTCCTAATCCTAATCATGTTTTTCAGGACTCCCCTTAAAAAGCCGTGGTTGATTTGCTATAAATCCTTGTCTAAGTTTTGGAGTTCTCCCTGCCCCCTTACAACCACAGTCTTTAATTATTTCACTAACTGTCAGATCTGTCCCTCTGTGAGGGAGGGAAGCACCCTGGATCTTGAATCCTGTGAGGTCTGGGAGATATCCTAAATAGGAGGACAAGAGTTGCAGAGCTGGCTGACATATGTGAGTAAAGCAGAAGAACCAAATGCTAAACTGATCACTAAGTGGAAAAGATAACAAGTAAAATGGAAGGCTTAGAATGTTAATACACAATATGGAAAACTTTCACTTGTTATTCTTCTGAATTATGGTACAGCAGGGAGTACTGTCTCTAATTAATGTTACATGAAAATTCTGACTGGGAGAACTTGTTGTCAGTTGTGTATAACTCTGCAAAATATTATCCATATGGGCTGTAATTTTCCAGGCTCTGTTAACTTCCTTAAGGTGATTCATTTGGGGAAATTCCAGGCACAATTTTTTGGCTCTTTAAAAGAGACATGCTAGTAGAAATCAAAGTTTTGTTCAATGTATAAGCATAAAATGAAACTTGGTGAACTTTCATTTGCTAAGGTATAGATTATCCTGCTGTAAAGCATAGAATTGAAAATTGACACTGAAATGCAAAAGTGGCATATGCCAGGCATATGCTGAAATTTGGCCAAGCTATACAAGCCTGAAAAAAAGAATCAGTATTATTTAACAAAAAAAAAAAAAAAAAAAAAAAAAAAAAAAAAAAAAAATTTGGAAAAAACAGCCTCAGAGAATTTTTAAAGCTCTGATAACATTCAGTACTAACCAAGGAGTAGGCCCCATCTCTTTGGAGGTGGAGAGTAAGAAAGAAAGGGAGAGCAAAAGAGACCACTGTTAAGAGAGATAGAAACAGTCTTTTTTTCCCTGCAAACTCCAGCCAGCCTTCATCTGATTGAGTGTCTTATCCCCAGTCTATGTTCCTGCTCCTTTCAGCAGTCTTTTTTCTTGATACTGGAGATGAATCCAACAAGAATACAGGAAACTGCTGAAAGAAAGTTCGGGGTTCTAGGGATGGGCTGACCTCAGGTGAGGGATGCTGACAGGAACCTCAGTAGATTTAGAGATGGGAAGATAAAACACTGTAAAGAAGACACTGATCTAGAGAAAAATAGAGAAAAATACAGTGGTTAAAGATTTGGGATCCAAGCAGGTACCAAAATAGTTACAAGGACAAGAGCACTGTTATTAGGCATTGTATAATCCTGAAGGACTGAGACAAGAATGACTTCCTGAGACATGGAGACTGGGACAAGCTGTTACTGCATGACTTCAAGTGATAGAGGAAATCCTAAGATTTCCTCCTCTGTTGAGGACATGTGCTGCTGCATCACCTGAGGGTTTTTATATGCTTTTTAAAAATACACTTCACAAGATGCAGTACTGAAAAGATATCATTCAAAACAGAAGTGAATGTCTCAAAATCAGAAATACAGCTAGCTTTGCTACAGCCTTATTTCTGCACATGGTGTATTTGTGATAGTATTTCTAATTGCATAATTGGTATTTTTCCACAGACTCATGAGTCTCTTAGTATAGTATCCAGACTGGATGTTGTTGATGGCTAATCAATTTATCCTTGTTTACTGAACACTCATCAGAACCAATTATAAGACAAAGATATTGTGTCTCTGACGAAATTTTTGTGATACTTCATGCCAACAGTGACAGTCATAAACATTAATTAATTTTTTTTCCAAACACATAAGCTGAAAACCTTTTGAAAAAGAGATTTCAGGGACACCATTTCTTCAGGATATTAAGGATTAGTTATGTAAAAAACCTACTTACTGTCTTTACTTGTTTATGATTGCATTGTCCAGCATTGTCCATGACTCATGTTAGTGACTTCCTAGGAAAAAACCCCACTAGGAGGTTTGGTTAACATTTCTAGGAGTGTTGCAGAGCAGATCTGGCATTGAACTTCAGTGAACCTATCTTGACCAGCAGATCATACATTTTGTATGTTTCTTCTCCCTCAATAACTGTGCTTTTTATTGTTTTAATAAACATGGTAAGGATTCAGTGGATAACCAGACTGTTTAAAATGCAGATTTCTTCTGAAGCACAGTCCAATACTATGTTACTGTTTAACAATGATTTTTAAATGCATAATATAATTACAATTGGACCAAGAATTTTAATTCAGCATGTCCTTACTGTCATGTTTCTCTCATTTTTAAGGATATTTCTATGTGTGCTGTTTGAAGGCAGTGTTAGTGTACTGCAACTTCTACAGTATTTTGGGTAGAGAGTGACATCAAGGGGCAGGAAATGCATCTTGATTTTCATGCTTGTGTCAATTTTTTTGTAGAGAAAGGGTCTTTTAGTTGCATGCTTGTGTCATGACCTGGATCACAGAGGTTACAGCAACAGCTATCTTCAGAAATTTGATCACCCCTTAGCTGCTCTCTATTCCACATCAACGATGGAACAGCACCACTTCTCGCAGACTGTGTCCATCCTGCAGGTAGGATTATTGAAATTGTATGTTCTGTGCATTAGTGTTCAGTGGTGGAAAAAGGAGTCATATCATTGCCAAATAGATTTTCTGAAGCATGCTTAGAAATTATATAATTAATTTCTCTATTATAGTACTCATTTAGATGAGTAGAAGATTTATTACAGCAAGCCAGGTTTCACAGCTAGCAACCCAAGGATTCAACAATAGTGCAAAATACAGCCTTCTCAAAATCTTGAACTTATAAAAATCTTGTGTATTTTAAGGTCTTTACTTATGGCCTGCCTTTGAAGCTTTTTGCTTCTGATTCTCTGGAGGCATTTCCCATGAACATGTGGAATAGGAACTTTGAAAATTAAAAATAATTTTCTCAGATACATATATATATTTTTGTCATAATGTATTTAAACAAAATTTTCAACTATCCTGAAGCTTTGAATAAAAACTCAAGTACTAGTAAAACTTTGTATGAAAAACTTGAAAACCTGCTGTAATAAATTCTGTGAACATTGAATGTGTGGCATGAAAGGGGAGATGTTAATTTTTCAAGCATGAAAATTGTAAACTTATTTTGTTATGTTATTCTGTGCTTATTTGTTACTCGGCAATTTGATATTTAAGAAGTCTGAGTAAGGTAATATTCTGTGAAAGAGAATTCCTAATATGAAGTCATGTGTCTTTATGTTTAATGAAGACAAATAACTACAGAAAAATATGCAGACACTTTTTGGGAAAATACAGGTGTGCTAGTGACACACACACATTTTCTCATGAGTGAAATTTTTATAATTCTTGAGGATTGAGAACTCTTACCTGTGAAACCACTCCTAGTCCATAACATACTTGTGCTCACTAGTTTCAGTTTTCCGTGCACACTCAAATTATAGCATAACCTTGCTACTGTACCACTGATTCATTGTTAATCTTTCTTTCTTTCTGGTTTTTCAGGGGAAGATGATATTTATTTTCTTAAATACATAATCACCTTTTAGGAAAAATACATATTCTGTCTTGTATTCAGAATCACATCTTGTGATTATGGTTTTAGGTATCATATGCATTTAATCACAGAGTGGAAGCTTTATCTCTGAATGCTCCTTCATGTAGGAGGGTGTAATTGAATCCTTCAGTGGTGGTATGGCATTAGATGTTTAGTGTTCATTCTTTGTGTGAATATGTGCAGAGTGAGCATGTTCCTCAGTCATTAACACTTCATTGTCCCAACCATTTTGCATTTTTTCTGGCAGAAATGCTGTAATCAATGAAAATCCCATTTGCCATGAAGGCAGGGAACCCTTTTGCTTCCCCAGCACCTCCTACATTTGCTGTCAATGTGAGTGAGGAAACAGGGATAAGTGGCCAGGGCTGTAGAGTGGATTCAAGACACCAGCTGCTGAAAGCACCCATGGGTGATAATCAGCAGCAAAGGCGGGCTGGAGCAGCCTTTTGGACTTGCTAGATTTTGTTTGAATAAAAAGTCTTATTGAATTCATGGACTGATGGAAATAAAAGCCAAACCAACTCACCAAGCTCTTTAGGATTTATCTGAGTTTTAATTTTAATTAGTAACCTGCAGTACTTTTAACTGCTTGAAACTTTAAAGCTGCTTTGCTCATCCACCTGCAGTTTGAGTGTACACCATACTTAGGACACAGCATTCAATTCACTAGCTTTAGCTCAGCAGGCAAAGAACAAAATCTTCGGAGTTGTACTTTATATGTACTACTCAAAAGCCTAAGTGGCACAAACTCATAACAGTCAGCTTCTATCAGCAGTTTACAGAATCAGTTCTTTTCAAGTAATCTGAATAGAAGTTGTCACAGTGGTCTTTCTAAGAGTGCAGCTTCTAAAGCCCAAGAGTAGAATCCAGAATAATTTAAATATTAGGACAAATAGCCTGGTCCCAGGAATTAGACAGCAAGGCTGGAGAGTAGAAGGTCCCCAAAACCCTAAACTGTGAGAACTAACAGTAGTAATTTTTTGCTCCCAAAGTGCTGATGATGGTTTGAAATGTTTTGAATTTTTTTAAACATAATGTTCTGTGACTTAGAAATCTGTCAAAGGAGCATTGAGACATAGATAGATTGTATTTTCTATTCATTATTCACAATAAATCTACTTGTCTGTAGTAAAAAGTAAAAGTCCTGGAAATTGATGTTTATGTTCCGGATGGTGAGAGAAACCAAGCCTATTTGTACTGCAGAGGATTTATTTTGAGCAAATTAGGTAAATGCTTGACGAAAGTCAGGGAAACTTTTTGAGCTTCAGCCCAAATGCCAATTAAATGTCAAAACACCTCTGCATTTGATATATTTTAATGATATTTTCTTTTTCTGAATGTGCACACCTTGACATGGCTAGTTCATTCTTTTCTTTTTGTCTGCTTCCTCTCAACATTAGGAAGACTTTTGACAACTTGTTTTCAAAATCTTAGAGACAGTAGATAGTCTTGACTTTCCAAAATGTGGAAAGTAGCTTCATAAGTCATCACAGTGGGTGCATATTGTCAGTTAAATGCGCAGTAATACCTTTTGGAGATTGAAAAGTGATGGCAGTGGTGTGTTACCAGAGCCTCCGTAGCTGAAACCATTATCTTTATGAGTCATTCAACTTAAGGTTGAACAAAGCAGCTTTTCCCTCTAAATGTTGATATACTTTAAAATAATTAACTTTATTTTTGTATAGAAAATTATGTCAGTAAATGCAGCGATTTAAGGCGCATTTAATTTGGAACATTAGGAAAACAAAATGATTTTGTATTTTTAACTTCAGTGTTTCTTTATCCATGCTGTATATTTACGGAGTATCAAAACTATGCTTAAGTGAATCAGGTACTCAGTTTATCAACTTGACTGTGCAGACTCTGGATCAGAACTGAATCACACATTTCCAAGTTAACACCGTCTGGAAGTGTTGTGTCTACAGTGATTTTAAATCAAAGAAAAAGATTTCTGTAATTTTTCTCTAGTAATGCCTTGAGGCTGCAGAAGGAGCAGTCCCTAAAACAAATTGGTGGCTTAGTCATAGGTTTTTTATTTTATGACAGTGTTTACAAAGGAAGAATAAAAATGGGAATTTCAGGCTACTAACATTTGAATTTGCAACAAAACTTGTTATTGGGCTGTAAAACTGTCGTAACCTGTCTGGTGAAGTAAAGACTGAAATAATCTCAGAATTAGAGCTTGTGCTTTTTATTGGTTTTTTACTTTTTCATAGCTGGAAGGGCACAATGTCTTCTCCAATCTGAGCTCCAGCGAATATGAACAAGTACTTGAGATCATCCGGAAAGCCATCATTGCCACAGACCTTGCCCTGTATTTTGGAAACAGAAAACAACTTGAAGAGCTGCATCAGACAGGAGCATTAAACCTTAAGAACCAAACACACAGGTAAAGCAGCAAACCAGTAGTAGATCCCTATGTCATTAGGCTAGAAAGAGAAACTTTATTTAAAAAAAAAAAAATTACCTCTGAATGGTAATTTTCTTACATATGTGATCTCTAAGACCAGCAGTGTGTAAAATTACACATAAGTAACAGTAATTGCCATTGCTTTATATTTGCATTGACCCTTAAATGGCTGATGACTTCCTCAACTTAGGGGAAGTGCACTTTGCATTTATTAGTTGATTATACTGCGTATTTGTGTATTTTCTCTGATATATTTGTCTGTTGGTACAGTTTTAATGACTGCCATCACACTGGCATGCAGGTTAGCAAGATCTATGCTTTTTCACATGGAAAATGCATTATTAACAAAGATGCAGGTGTCCTTAAGGGCCATCTTAATTTCTCCATTGGGTGAAAACAAGTGAATTTAAATTAAATTGCCAGTTTTCTTTATAAAACTTAGATTCACAAAACATAGATTTATGCTATAAAATTGGTTCAATTGGATTTCTTTGTGTGTGTGCCTTATTTTAGTAATTATTTTAATACTCCCGATGTTCAGTTACTCTGTGAACAGGTTTGTCAGCATATAGCACAGTGTTACGCATTGGATTCATCTGATGTCCAAGTTTGAATTCATTCCAACAAACCAATGACAGCGCCTTGAGACAGACTCAGAAGTAGTCTTTCCTCTTTTTTAGAAGCTTTTTTCCCTCTCTTTTTAAAGAACAAGGAAATGCAGCAATAAGATATGTCATCTTTCTTTTTACAGACTGGTACTGTATATTCAGAGAATTATAGAGGGGCATGTGAGTGTTTTAACAGGCAGGCATCCTGTGCCCTTGCCTATGGATGTGATTGTGTAGAGAATGGTCAATGAACTCTGGTTGCAAACAATGTAGGGAATACAACAAGGGATGCAGTATGCAGTCTGTGCCATTCCTTATCAAATAATCAAACAAATGAGGAAGAAAAAATAGGTGGGAGGAAATTCGTAGTGTGTATACATTGCTGCTGATTCAACTGAGGAAGGGCAAATGAAAACTTTGCAGAGCAATCATTAATTCTTTACGAAACTTATAATTTAATGTTGTTTTATTCTATTTTAGAGATAGAGTGATTGGCCTGATGATGACAGCTTGTGATCTGTGTTCTGTAACAAAGCTGTGGCCAGTTACCAGACTGACAGCCAATGATATATATGCAGAGTTCTGGGCTGAGGTATGTGTGATTCTTTTGTTTGCTCTCCTTATAAACAGAAGCATCCAGGAAGGAAAAACCCAACTATAAGTATATTTCAATCAACATCTTGGTGTGTTTGTTGTAAAGAGAGTTCACTGGTGCATGTGTGTGTTCGTTGCTTACTCTGAAGTTATTTAAAGAGCTGAGTTAGCTATCTGATTTTCAGGCAGTCGATTTTCCTTCTGTTCAAGATAATGTAAGAAGTATGTCCTAACATAAAGTGACCAAGCAACAGAACATAGAAAAAGTCACTAACTGTAGTTTTTTGTATAAATGCAAAGTATGAAACCAGCTTCTAGGTCAGCTGCCTTGAAACATACTTATAGAGCTATGGTGTGAGTACAGAAAATGCTAAAGTAAATATGAAAAACATTACATTTATTTTGAGTCTTCTTTGTGAGCCAGCCCAACAACAGTGTCTCAGAGAGAGCTGGGTCTTCAATACATAGAAAGTTATTCTACAATTAATGTGTACTGAGAATTGAAACAAGGAATTAAGCTGTAGTAATGTAATCATGTTCATAAACAAATATGCAGTCTCTCACATGTCATATGCTGAGGTGTAAATATCCTAATTGTTTAATTTTTAAGTGGAAGTGACTGCTCTGGGGATAAGAAATAAATTGCATGGAGTGGAGTTATGCAACTTTAGGAGATATGATTGTATTTTCAGGACTACAATTGCACATGTCTATGATAAAGTGTTTTTCTTTTCTGTTATGTTCCCTGTGGAATCTTGCAGTTTTCAGTGGGCTTATTTCTGTTTTATACAGGAATAAAATAGAAATCAAGCCCGTGGAGTTTATGTAGCATGCATGTAGTGTGGAAATTGTTACCCTGCCTGTTGCATGTTCATTATGAAATTCCAGATGTGTGCTTCTTGTGGGTGTACTTCATATTCACATATTCTTGTTCTCTTAATTGTAAACAGCTCAGACTACAACAAAATATTTGAAAAATGCTGACTGTGTAAGCTCAAACATCTAGTCTAGTTCAGCACTGACTTTCTGAAAGGCCTGCACTGGAAAGTGAGTGTTCTTATGAGTGGTAGAATGGAGGTATAATGTTGACATGCCTCACTGATTACATACTCAAATTTTTTGCTTATTAGTAAAAAGACTTTTCTTGCAAATCTTGTGAGCTCAGTGGAGAAGGCAGGATAAAAATTATTTTTCATACTCAAAAATAGTAAAGATGGAATTATGGACATAATTGCGCCTGTCCAGATGTTAATCTTTTAGTAATCCAAGGATGAGTTTATAAAGGTAGATGTTGATATATATTGAAAAGACAATTTTTGACAAAGAGGGTACACTGTAAATTCATCCGGTTTACTTAGCTTTTCCTTGGATGGGTGTGTTGTGTTCTGCTGCTTGCTTTAAACAGGTATTTTGAAACATGAGACTAACTGAGCAGAAAGAGCAGAATAGAATGATTTCTTTGGGTTTAGTCTTCCAGTTGCTTTTTATTATGGAGGGACACTTGGAAACAAGGAAATTGTGTGTGCATTGACTTACAGCATCTGCTGTAATGTACAAAATGAGCCTCTCCTTGTGCATTTTTCTGAGATTGCCTCAGAGTGATACCACACATTATTTTAAATTCTGGATTGTTAGATTGACATAGAATAGAAGATGGAAATTAATTCAGGTCTCAACAGTCTTGTTTTTGTTTTCGTAATCTCTCTCTCTCTCTCTATTTTTCTCCAGGGCGATGAAATGAAGAAAACAGGTATTCAACCTATTCCTATGATGGACAGAGATAAGAAAGATGAAGTCCCTCAGGGTCAGGTATGAACTCTTTCAGTAAAATGGTACTTGTTTATACATAAAACATGTATGGAAAAAAAAAACCATTTCATATATTAATGAATATTGCTTTTGAAACTGGGTTATTCAGACTGCTGAACTTGATGTTATTTTTTAAAGCAGTAGTGGAAAATTTGTTTTCAAATTTTGATTAAATGACAATGTGTTCTTTGCTGTCATCACTTTTTTCTTTCTTTGTACTTGTAGCTCTAGCTAAGACCACAATCACCTTGAATTTTTACAAGTGTCATGTTAGTAAGTGGTTGTTTCAGCCCTTAGGTAGTGTCCAAAGGAGGGTAAGAATGATGGTGAAGGGCTTGAGGGGAAGCCCCATGAGAGGCAGATGAGATCACTTGGTCTGTTCAGCCTGGAGAAGAGGAGACTGAAGGGAGACCTCACTGCAGTTACAGCTTCCTCATGAGGAGAAGGGGGAGAGGATGGTCTGACACTGATCTTTTCTCTGCAGTGGCCAGTGACAGGACACGAAGGAGTGGCCTGAATTTGTGGCAGGGAGGTTTAGGTTGGATATTAGGAAAAGGTTCTATACCCAGAGGGAGATTGGGCACTGGAACACACTCCCCAGGGAAGTGGTTACAGCACCAGCCTAACAGAGTTCAAGAAGTATTTGGACAATGCTTATGGTGTAACTCTTGGGGATGGGCCTAGGCACAGTTGGACTTGATGGTCCTTGAGGTCCCTTCAACTCATCATATTCTTTGATTCTGTGATTTTCATTGAGCCCGAAGGTCTATAGGGTGACTGGTTCTAATGTCCTATTTTAGTTTTTAACAATTACACAGTAATCTTTTTCCATTGAAATAAAATAGTTCCCCTTAAAAACTAGCAAACAAGAAGATAAAAAAAATACAAAACAAATGGACAGAAAATGAGGCACTATATTAGATAGTGTGGATGAGCAGACATCCCATCTGTATGTAGCCTTGCCCTCTAAACAGCTGCAGTTTCTTTATGTTGGTTGCACTGTAAGTACTTCATCTCTGTAAGTACTTCATCTGGGTTCACAGCCCAGGAAATGTATCTTATTTTAATTTAAAGTACACAGAATACTTGGTTACATAGCAGTATGGGATGAATCTTTGTGTTGATGAAAACAAGAACTGTTCTTCAATTTCTGAATAAGGATCAAAGTTTGGACTATTAAAAAAAGAGATATTATCAAATGCTTTAGTTGTGGTACAGTACATAGTATTTCACTAAAAGGCATTTAAAAATTCTGCCCAAAGGAAGGGATCATAGTACACTATTGTAACTATCATAAGAGTCTGGGATAAGTGAGGGATGTTATAATGAATCTGAATGTAATCTGTCATCCTTGATAATATATTAAGTAGCATTTTCTAAAAATTTCATCATGTCATGACAATTCAGCTGTGACATCATAGCTGTCACAGGCCCCTAAGCCTCTGTGAGTCAGGTATCATTAAAAATGCGCTCATTTGGTTTTCCCTAAATAAGATAATGGTAAAAATGTATTATTCAACTGTGTACATGAGAAGCAACTGCAAACCACTCATTGATCACACTGCACACGATCCACAAACGTGTAAAGCCCCCAGCATTTTAAGTACATTGAGCTATGCAATGCATACCCTAGAGGACATCAGAACAATCCATAATCTGACCATATTTTGTGAATGCTGCACAACCTTTCTTTTTTAAAAAATAAAATCATCACATGAATAATGTTTGCAGAAATGTCTCTAACATCTCCACCTACTTCCCACTGCTACTGACACCAAACAGGTAGACATATCCTGAACAAAAGAAATTAATCAATTGAATAATAAAAGGTTCTGTAGAAAACCTTATTTTAAGCAGCCATATAAGTCACGAAAGAAAGGCATGTAAGCAGCTTGTAATTACCAAAGATTTCATGGTTGTTGCTTATTTTAAAGCATCTGGATGTTAAAGGGAGATGCAGAAGTGTGAATAACTAATACAAGTAGTAATTAAGTAAAGAGCTTTGAGCTGTTAGCTTCCAGTATTGTAGTTTGGCAACAATTAAACTATTTTTTCTCATTCTTGTTTTTCATAGATTGGGTTCTACAATGCTGTAGCTATCCCATGTTACACCACTCTTGCACAAATATTTCCTCCAACTGGGCCACTACTCCGAGCATGCAGGTGAGTGCATAGCTGATATCTTGGTCAAGGAAAAAGCAAGAGTGCTTTGCAAGTTTGTCTGGAAATACAGATTTTTAATTTCAGAATTTGCATGAACATCAACAGGGATACACATCTCACATTAATCTATTCAGAAACACAGAGGTGATAACTACTGTCTGGGACTGTCCACTGTAGATCTACAGACACAGCTGATTAAAATGTGTTAGATGCCAAAAGCATTTAGAGAGAAACAGTTCAGTGTTTGTGCATCCCTGTTTGCGTTGGCCTAGTATAATTTCCCTCTGTGTCCTTTTTACTTCAATGTGGTTCCTACAACAAAAATTTAGCTAGTATTCTCTTTACTTAAAAAATGTGTATTTAGCACGTGGTTTTATTTCATATCAGATAAATTCTGTTAAAAACCAGAAAAAGAAATATCCAGAAAATACTCAGTAGTTGAGAGCATAGGAGTAGTTAACACTGGGGTATGGGAGAAGCAGATGTAACTTTATCCTGTAACACAGTGGGTATGGAGCTTGGGTTGTTCTGGAAAAGAGGCAAGAGTCCTTTACCTGTTGACTGCTTCTCTACTTGAATGATGGTGGATTGCTTTGTAGGTAGTTCTGTCCAGTAATTATATCCTAGGCCTTATATATATAAATATATATCTTATATATCTTATATCACATATATATATATATATATATATATATATATATATATGTAATATATCTTTCCTGACAAAATTTTGCTGAAACCAGTGTATGCTTCATGAAAATGTTCCAGTTTCAGGTTAATCCATATTTTCTAGAAAACCTCAGTTGTTTCATAATATGCCAGCAATTTCTAGTCATATCGAGTGGTTAAAGGTCTGTTTTTCTATGCTCTTAATAGTACTCTCTCATATTTTTTTGGTTTGTTGTGGTCCCTAAATTCCGTCTTACATTGAACTTTTTCTTTGTCCTGTATGATCTTCTCTTGTGGATCTTGTGGACTAAATTATTTCTGTTAAGTAAGAGACAAATGCCTTGAAATTAATGCAGTTGTTAGCAAAACAATTTCATTCACACACAAACACTCTTTCATGTAGCTGTGAGAAGAATACGTAGGTCTGTGTCAGTGATACAGAGGACTACCTTATGAAAACAGTGAGTATCTAGGAGCCATCATTAAATAGTCAGCTCAGCTGGCTCTAAGCTACCTCTGCTGGGCATGGCCATGCAACCCTTAGATGGATATGGGAGGACTATTCAGGAGAATTAGAGACTATACCTCTCCAGTTATTACATTAATGGGGCTACAGCTGGAATTTTGTTTAGCGTCTGTGCTTTAAGGAAAGTAGATGAACATGAACAAACAAGAGAATGTAAAGTGCTGGTTTTGCACTACACTTTTGTTTTTCCTTTATTTTTGATGGGTAACTGTTACTTGGTGTGATCAGAGGCATACAGCCTCATTTTTGTTTGGTGTTTCCTTAGCTGCTGACTGAAACAATTTTGATACCACCTCTTCACCAGCAGGGCTCATTCTTGAGCACAGTACTTGAGCTGCTGTGTCCTTGAGTTCTTTGAAACTCACTCACCAGCTGCAAATAATAGCAGCAAAAGCACCCAAGGCAGCATGTCAGCATCAAGGTTTTTATGGAACCTCTGCGCATTTATTCCAGACATTAGGAGCCAGGGCTTTGGGAGCTCAAAGGCAAATGAATCATATTATCTACACCTTACAAAAAAAAAAAAAAATCCAACACTGGTTTTCCATAAAGTAAAATAGCAGCTAACAGTCTAGAAGGTTTTATTGTCTGATAATTTATTCCACATTTTTAAATGCTTTCTTGTCATCCTGTGCAGATCAAGACTGTTAGCCCACCTGTGTTACATTAGCCCATATACTCACTGGGTCTACCAAATTATAAATATATGGTAGTGTATTTATTTGGAGGATGAAGTGATTTATTTTTTTTCCATTATTTCAGACCAAATAATTTTAAATTATTTCCCTTGTGCTTTTGGGTCTCTCAGTTTTTGATGAAATTTATAATTTAAAAATATTTTGGCTGAAATTCTCATTACTTTCCCAGGTCCAGGAAGGAGACAGAAAGAGTGATGCTTCATTTTTTCTGATCCTTAGTGCCTGGTTGTATTAGCTGAGGCTCAATGCCATATTAATGCTGGCTTCATAACTTCCAGCTGTCCTGAAGCACTGGCAGAGCATTTTCCTGCAGAAAATGGTGTAGGTGTTACCCTAGAAGGCACCAGCCTTCTTTGGTAGAATTCATCAGATCCTGCCTTCCACCACCCCCAGAAAATGCGATGTTTTCTCTTCTTACCTGTAGGCTGTGCTTTCAGATCAATATTTGCTGGTTTGACAAATGTTTTGACAAGGCTGTGACATAAAAATCAGATCTCTGCTGCGTAAATTCTGATGTAATACCATGGTATGACATACCATGGGAGAACTTTTAATACTGTTGCCATTCTGTTTGTTTACCAAAGGCATTTAAGAGCCTTTGCTTTAGTAACTAGGGATCTGACAGGATGAAGATGAAGCAGTTGGGTTTGCTCTCTTTCTGTGTTTAAAGACTGAATACTGAGATTTGGCCATTGGTTCCAATACCTACCATCAACACAGACTTCCCAATCACTAGAGTGGTACCAATGCACAGCAAGTAAGACTATGGGTTTGTACCCCCTTCAGATCATTAGAACATTACCTTGATTGAGCTTGATTTCTCATCATTTTATGGCTTATGAACAGATTTTTGAACTTACGGACTGGCCAGGCTGTGAGGTGCTAAAAGACTCAAGGAAAGGGTACCCTTTAAATGTAGTAGACTGACAATATGATTACCACAATAGTAGTTGAAAATTGATACTATGATCCTGGCATGCAACATTTTATATACTGTCAGGCAGCCCTTTTGCAGGAGTTTCAGAAAGCTTAATCTGCTCCTGTGCTCCAGAGTGCTCTTTCAGAGTCTCTGCAGTCTTGTCTCTTCAGTCACAGCTGGGTTTTCCCACAGCCATGAGGACTATAAATTTGTCACATAAGCAGGTGGTAGCTTCTAATTCAGGGCTTGCCTTGGGAAAGGAAGGTTCTGTAGGCTAGGATAGAGTTGACATGGATATGAGTGATACAGAATTACAAAATGGAATAGCTGAAGCTGAAGGCTGAACTAATGTGTAGATGATAAAAGCTTGATGACATACAGGTACTAATATAAATATATTTACATAAATATAAATCTCAAAGTATAGTACAACAGACATTATTGTGAGGAAGAAAAAAATCCCAGTCAACTTATGAAAAGTGTCTTACCTTCAATTTTTTGCATCTCCAGGGACAATCTTAACCAATGGGAGAAAGTAACGAGAGGCGAGGAACCCTCTATATGGATTTCTTCTCAATCCCTTGCTCCTGGGACCTCAGATTCTCTTCCTGTGAAGACTGATGACTGAACAGCAGTAACAGATTGCTTTAACCTGAAAATCACCCCTTCTTGTTTTGGGGATTGTTTTTTGTTTTGTTTAATTTTTATTTGAAAAAAAAAAAAAAAAAAAAAAAAATTTTTTTTGTTTTAAAAAAAAAAAAAAAAAAAAAAAAAAAAAAAAAAAAAAAGAAAGAAAGAAAGAAAGAAAAAGGAAAGCTGCAAAAATGCTAAGAAGTAGACCTGCCTAGGAAGGTAACACCCATAGAGTTACCTCAGCTAAATGACTCTGGCAGCCAATCTTCTAACCTACACCAATGACACAGCATAAACAGAGGGAAAATGACAACCCAGATGTTTTGGAGTCAGCTATCAAAACAGAACTTACAACTTGTGAAAATAAAAGACTGGCCTTATCTCATGGGCTACCTTGCTGAGGCCTTAATTTAAGACTGATGGGGGTGGGGGGGAAACTTATGGGATATTTCTAAATTGTATCTTTCTTGTAAGGGTTTCAATGGTACTTTTATTATATCCGTACTGTGGCTGGCTTTAACACCCGTGTCACTTGGGAGTTCTTGGCTATAAATAGAACAATATACCCATTGCTATTGTGAATGTTTATGTGTGATCTACTTGTTCAGTTTGAACTCCAGCAGAATCCTTGGAGACTATAATTTATGCTTAGGTAACAGTGAATTAATTCTCTTGCTGCAAACTAAAGGAAAACCAACATTCAGGTTAAAGTTTTAAAGTACTTCATTAAGCATCATGATGCCAATTGTCTGTCACTCACAAGGGAAATGTTGGTATAACTAGTGATGGTGCTTTGTTCTTTAGGATGTTTTTTAAAACTCCTCCCTTAAAGCACTGGAAGTACTGGTTAATTATCTCTGATATAAGAGGGAGTTTCAGGTTGGAGGTTTTGTATCCATAGTGAGAGAAATATCAGATAAAATTTAAATGTAACAGCAAAGATTTCCTTTCGTAGCTCACAATTAAGTAAAGCCATCATTTTTATTTTTACCTGCTGAGCTGTTTTTTAAAAGGTATTGGAGACATCTATCTGCTGGGAATAAAAGCCTTGTCAGAAAAGTCAGGTCTGATAAGAGGGATTGTGGTACCATCACAATAAATCAAAAATGTTTTTTGTATTGACTAGCTTTTGTGTTGCACATTAACACTTCATGTCTTCTACTGCTTTTTCCCCCCATGCCAAGATGAGTGAAATCAGGAAACTTCTCCATTTGTCTGTTTTTTATCCCTAGTTAGAGAAATTTCTAGGTTTAGAAATGCCTTTCTTAGTGAAAGAATACCTGACTGAAGAAAAGTACACTAAATGGCGTGTTTACAGTTCTGTGCTGACTTAGGCCTCAGCCTTACAAACTTATGCACAGACTTACATGTAATGCCACTCATAAATTTACTGCAATTGTACAGAATGTTTCACAACACTTAATTTGCCTTTGTCTTTCTCTCAAAAATATTAATAAGAAAAAAAAATCTTCATAGTGATCCACACATTAGGTGAAAACACAGTCTTTACACACCTTTCACATATAGCCTATACTGCATTATGTGATTTTTCACAGATAATGCACTCTTGTGGAGGTTCCGTGGTAACACAGCCTTTGTGTAATTGCAACGAGTAACAGTAGTGACCTAAAGACAGAACACAGGTTCTCTTTTTCCATCTCCTGTCTTTTAGGCTCTATTGCTCTAATAGGCATGGCAGCTTTTGGGTTTCTTGTGAACTTGGCCTCTTGAGTTTTGCCTTCTGTTATGGTCGAGCACATGCTAGTATCTGTTTATGTGTACAGTGTGTGATCCGTAGTCGCATAATGTATAAATGCACCTAAGCCTTTGCTGTACATAGAGATCCTGCAGGCTGAGAATTCAATATGAAGTTATCTTATTTGTATGATGCATGTTACCTAGCAATGGCCTTTTTTTTTTTTTTTTTTTTTTTTTTTTAACCAATTCTAAGTGCAGAAATTATTTGGCAAATCACAGCAAACTGGTTTGGAATTGAAAAAGAGCAAAAACAAACAAAAAGAAAAACATGGCAGGAAACAATTACAGCAAAGTAGAATGAATGATATCTCATACTGTGTCCTCTACTTTCCTCCTCAGCCATTCTGTTTCAGCTAAATAATGCAGATGCAACCTTTCATCACTAAGTACTTGAGGCAGAATCCACGGTTCCTAATTTACATGGAAATTATCTAAATCTATGGTGACTACAGAAGTGCTCTTTGAAATTCAGATGGCCCAACAACTGGATGGAATGTTTTTCTTTGCAGGTTAAGTATATTTGCTTAAGCATATTTGCATTAAAGATAACTTCACTTGTTCTGTTTCCTACCATTAAAAAATGTTTGGCAGTATCACACACTATGTTATGTTTTGAAGTTTGTAAGTACTGATAGAGGACACGATTCCCTGGCAAATTTGTCAAATTGGCAATGAGTTGTTTTATTAATGTCTCAAGTGAATCAGCTACTGTTTCTATTATAGAACTATCCAAACAACTTAAAATATATGTTTGCTGTAGTTTAATGTCTATTAGAATTTTTAAAAATATGCTCCAGTGGATGTGGTTTGGTTTGATTTCCTGGTGTGTAAAAGGAGAAAGGTAATGACAAAATATTACTTTTTGTTAGGACTAGACCAAAAAAATTAGTCACGAGGAGCTGTTATATTTAAGCAAATGTAGTCTGTCTTAGCATTTACATTAGAGTACAGATTCATATGTGTAAATATTTTTTTTTAAAAAAGACTTGTACCTGTACTTCCAAAGTCAAACCCACCAAAAGTTAGAAATTTGGAGCTGCATTTGAATTTCATGGATCAAAGACATGTTGAGATTTAATTGTTCAAAGTTCTGAACTCAAACTCGCAATTGATGAAGACATCTAGGTTTGCAAGACATCTGACTCAGTAAGTTAAATTGTCCAAAGTCATTCCTCCTTGCATTTTTATCCTACTAAAACTCATCTTGCCCAAAAGAATGTATAAAAAGCTTAACAGATCTTTCCTTTCCTAGAAGTGTTAGATTTTATATTCTTAGAATTGCATTTTTCTTGATAATAATTGCAGCTGCTTTTCCCTCCCACATCTAGTAAATGTAAAAATACTGTTTGAAGCTGTAACTGAGCATTTCTAGTGTATTATGTGCCTGAAAGTGTGCCTGAAAGGTATGCACTAAGTGAGAAAAATAGTTGACATAGCATGATACTCATCTGAGATGCTGCATATTTTATTACAGCATGACAAATTCCATTGTTACAATTAATTTATGAATTTTGTATGGTTTTGCAATATTCTACTCACATGGTTTAACTCATTGCAGTATTTTTTTTTTCTATAAGTAATCATTAAAGAAATGAAACAGGGTTTTTTAGCTGGAGTATATGATCAAGCATGTTAAATTGGAGGGGACATGCAGAGTGGAATTCATCTTTTTATGTGACACAGATTTCTTCCCTGTGTGTAAACTTAAAACAGTATGATCAGTTTGCTGTGACTGCACTTAGAGCATATAGTGTTAAAATTGTTGGAGTAGCAAAAAGCAGTATTCATGTTAAAAAAATAGAGATTATTAGATGCTCAAATCAATCATGACCCTCTTGAAATAATGCATTTGCCTCAAACACTGTGATATTGGACCAGTTCTTTGAAGTGGAACAATTAATTTATTTATTCTAAACACAGAAAAGGCTTTCTGCACACTACTACAAGGAAGTTAATGTTCAAACTTTAGGTTCTATATCCCAATCTAGCAAAGGCACATCATAACTTTCGTTTGCTTTCTGACCAAAAACTGTGCTCGATTGTAATACGGGTGTATACTCTGTCAAATAAACCTAAAATAAAAGACTGCTTCCTAGGGTAGATCAAATGATTTGTAGAGTAGTTTCATAAATATTCCAAATTCAGGTTGGGCTGTTACGTGGAGAAGAAAGAACTTCAAGGTAACAACATTCAACTTTATTACATTTAGTGAGCTGAAAATTTTGTTATATATATATATATTTACACACATACATATATATATATATATATATATGATACACATAAACTATCTTTGTAAAAATATGCAAGTGCAATAATTTAAAGAGGTCTTAACTTTGCATTTATAAATTATAAATACTGTACATGGTGTGTAATTTTTTTTCATGTATTCATTTGCAGTCTTTGTATTTAAAAACAAACCTAAACCTTTACTATTACGTTTGTACAATAGAACAGTAAGCATTTATTATGATATCGTTAAGTTGTAAATAAATTCACAAACCAAACAGCCAGTACATATGCATATATGGGTGTCCTATTGTGAAACCTGTTTCTGCTTTTACTGCTGCCTTTAGCACACCAAGACAACTTCTGTGGATATGTAATTATACATATAAATATATGTATGATACATAAAATATATTTAGAAATGTTCATAATTTTAATGGATATATCTATACATATACTTTGGTGTGGATATTACTGAATACAGAGTTTTTTAATATTATTTTTCATGTTTATTTTTGCTGTTGGGAGTACAAGTGAGGGATGGGAATGTGTGTGCATATATGTGTGTTTATACCACAAGTAAAACACAGCACAAGGTGATTCAAAACACGATGGAGTCTTTTGAATAGGCAGTGCTTGTCATTCCCTGTATTTGCAGTGTCCTGCTTAATGTATGTTTTCCCAACATAAGGCTTTTTTCAATATAGTTTTATCACCTTTTGCAGGTTCACGTCACAAACTGCAAAGGGATCTCCTTTTCTGTTTGTCCTCCTCCTGTCAGGAGCTTACCTTGCTTCTGATGGACAGCTTCCACATAAATCCTTGCTTTGCCACAGTCTAATGCCAGTGCAGCTGATACAGAATCATTTTCTACCTTTGGGAATTATTGAGATACTTAGATGCTGAATTGTAAAAAAAAAACCTAATTCTGCACCCAAATTTGTAAGGTCTAGTCCAAAGCAATATAGGATTTTAACAGCTGCAAGTATCCTGAAAATACAAGGTAGCTTCAGAGAACTATAAAGCAAAATTCTGAGCAACACATTAAAAATGAAATTTAAAAATAGCTGAAAAAAGGCGAGAAAATTAAATCTGTGTATTTCTCCACTTACCATA